TTCTGGGGGTGCTCCTGGTCTCCGGGCTCTGGGCCAAATGGGGGCATCCTGCAGGATTTAGGGGTTCATCCAACCGAATTCTCAGGTCATTTCAACTACCCCGCTGTCTCTGGGCAGGGCTGAACCTCAACTGGCCCAGAGGGATTGAGAAAACCTGCTCTTTAAGGATGCTCCCACGGGGGACCCCTTTCAAGGCAACTTCTTCCAGGGTCTCACAGCCCTCTGCCTTCTAACTACAGTCCCCACCCTGCAGGTTGTGCTGGAGGGCCTCCCGGTGTGTCCCACCGCTCACCCTGGCCCCATGTCAGGACTGGTTTGTTTGAACCTCATTTGAACCCGTTTGGTGGGATTTTAGGTCAGCCTATGCAGACCCTTGAACAGGCTCTCGCTCTGGGCCTCCGTGGGGTCAGGGTTGCACTCCGATCCTGTCCAGTCAGTGGAGTCCTCCAGGAGAAACGTGACCCGCCAGCCCCCAGCCGCGCTCGGCCCGTACCAGTGACTCCCGCGGACCGTGCGCCACCACGTGGCCACTGGAGAACGTGCCCGCAGGGACTTGGAGGGGCCCCTGCAGACCTGCCCACCACCGGGACAGCTCTGAAAAGGCATTTTCAGTTACAAAGCAGCCCCGAATTGGCACAAATTAAAATAAAAGCAGGAAGAAAATTAGGGAAGAAAAGGGTGGGCCTGCCCAGTTCCTGTGCTGCCTGAGAACCCGCGTTCTCTGTAAAACCACGCCCTGAGATGGGCTTCGCAGCAGAAGTCCAGAGCTCTCCTAAAACTCGCAAACAGCAGTCTTTTCTTTGAGGCTCGGGGAGATCTGTGCCCCCATTACCCACCTCTTCTACCCCTGCTCCCCCCCCCCCACTGGTTGATGCTCAGAACACACCACTGGAGGTTTGGGTTCATGGTTTTGCCCACTGTTAACACGAAATTTTTCACAGAAGGGGGTCTCACCCTGAAGATTTCATAGTAACTTCACAGTTTATCAGACCTGGACTGAGAGCGGGGTTTGGAAGGAGAAAGAGCAAAGCTTGTTGCTTCGGAGCAATCGGGAGGGTAGGGTGGGGAACAGGGGGGTGGGCGTGGCCAAGGGGGAACTGAGGGCCAGGGAGTCTCAGCTCACAGTTGTGCCTGGGCAGAGGCACCTGGAGTGGGGAGAGAGCTGGGGGCAGCCCCAAGGACTCTCTGGCCTCATGAATGCTCTTTGTACCCAGGACAGAACTTTACCAGGTAAGCTAGGACCACAGGTTGCAGCCTTGGGGCGGACAGGGACTGTGTGGCCTTTGTGGGGTACTGGCCCTGGAGCTGCTTCCTCCTCTCTCCTCCCTGGTGTGCGGGCTGATGGGCACTTCCCACAGCCCCTGGGAGAGCCCCTGAAGGAGGGACGACGTAAGTGACCTCCTTCCCACCCTCAGCACCAGAATGAAGATGTGATATATCACCCAATTCATCTTGGTCTGGAGTCCTGAGCTCAGGCTGCTAACCTTTCTCTTAGCAGCCTCTCCTGCACCTAAGGCGCGTCTACCTGAGGCCGAGTCCACCCAGCTTAAGGACTGGTTCTGACTCCACCCCATTCCTTCCCTTTCTGTAGAATGGAATGATTTCTAACTCGAAAACTTTTTGCAGCTCCACTGTGAGTCCATCTTTATGTCTTGAGTTGTAAAGGCTGAAGCATCTGCGTCCTGGAAGGGGCTCAAAGAGCATCCCCCATGCCTGGAGGTAGAAAAGGCTTTTAAGTCACTCCCTCTCCTCTGGGTCCTGTTCTGAGTCCAGTCTCCTGGCCCCAGTGCCTTGGCCTATCACCATCTGCTGCCTCTGTGGTGGATTAGTCAGTTCTGGACTAACGTGTGTAGGCAGGATCCTTTAAGGACCTACTACAAGCTACTCCATCTTTCACAGTAGCACCTTCTCTTGGGCATGTGTTTAAGGAATACAAACTAATTTAATTTCAGTCTCTGCCTAGACCAAACGCGACTGAGACGGTGTATCTGTAAAGCAGCAACAGGGCACCTCCAGCTCAATCAGAAATGATTTTTAGATTGTCTGCTCGTTTACAATAAGCCACATCTCAGCTTCCCTCCACCGTTCACCAAACCATGCTGTGTCCACCAGCCTTTCTCAACTGAAACCAGCCTCCATGCATCTACTGCAAATGCTTCTCAGACAGGAACCACGTCAGCCCCTTCCTGAGTGAACCACAGCCCAGGAAAAGACGCCCCCCACAGCTGATGAAGGGTGGAGGGTGGTGCGGAGGGGCCCTGGCTTGTCTCTCTGAGGCCTGACACCTGCGGAAGCTGACATGAGCCCTGGGCCCTCAGCCCACCCCTCTTCCACCTTGAGGGGCCAAAGGAAAACACAAGAGCAGTTTGTTTTCTGAGAAGATGCTGTGTTGAATGCTTTCCCCCCAAACCCACACATTTCCCTACAGAGAAGGGGGCCATGCCAGGCCTTCCCAGTTAAGGCAGACGGTGTGGAGGTAACAAACATCAAACACAAGGCACTGGCTGGGGCAGAGCGGGTCGGGGGCCGGGCAGGGGGAGGGGAGAAGGGGAGGAATGAAGCCTTCCGGGGCGATGCCCAGGGATGGGAGTGGCCCCAGGAAGAGACCTGGCATCGCAGCCAGCCAACGGCAGCCCTCTCTCCTCCCTACGGCCTCCCCAGCGCAGGGACCATGAGAAGCCATAGCCCGAGGGCAGGCATGGCATCCACGAGCCACGATCTATTAACTGAAAAGTCTGTGTCCTTCCTGATCCCGTAAGGAGGCACGGAGTCTCGTCAACCTCCAGAAGGTTCTCGAGGGGCTTCACTCTCCCATATGCCAAATCTATGCTCTTGGTGAACACAGGGCCCACCAGGTGACGTGCACCCTGTCACCACATGGAGCCCGGGCCCAGCCGCCTGGCCTCCTGGGCCCTGCTGCAGCCCCAGAAGCCCTTCGTCACAGCGGGGGCACGTGCTCCCCGCCCTCCACACACACTGGGGTTCAGGAGGCCGCGTCCACACGCTGCCGGTGAGTCAGCGGCAGCAGCAGAAGAAAAACTGCCAGCCGCAAAGGCACCTGGGGTTATTAGTGCAAGACAGGTGTGTGAGCATCAGCTGACAGAAAGGGTGCCCAGACCACTAAGGCCAAGGGCGAGGTTCCCTGAAATGACTTCACTTTTCAGCCCCCCGGCCCTGCTCCCCTCCACGTGGGGGAGGTGCCTCAGGCGATACCCTTACATCCCCAAACCTTCCTTCCTGGTCCCTGTTTCCCAGTTCATAGTGTGGTCCAGCCCCTTCTCTTCTTCCCTTCAGGGCAGGAGAGCTGGGCTGCGAGGACTCAAGCTTTCCTCTTCCCTTCCCATCCCCTCCTGCTGGGCCCCACTCTCCTCCCCTCCCCTCTGCTTCGTCTGGTCCCTGAGGCTGGGCTGACTCGCAGTTCTGCTCCGCCTACTTGCCCAGCCTGGGGACTGAGGAGCACCGCCCACCCCCTGGGGCACAGGAAGGGCTGCCAGTTGTGTGCTTCTGGTCTGGGCGGTCGGGTTTAGCACTGCCCGAAGGGTGAGGTTAATGCCCTGATTGGTGGTTGGGGGGGCTTCCTGGGAGAGGTGTGCGTGTCCTGGAGGCATGGGCCTTGGGTGGAGCTAAGAACTACCCGATGGGGGGCCAGCTCCGGGGCTGTAAATCAGCTGCTCGGTCAGGGACTGGGGGAGACCCCTGTACCAGGGAGCAGGTTTGAGGTATGCAAGGGGGACCCTTCCTAAATGCACAACTCCACTCCCTCACAGTCAATGCTGGGTCTGGACAGTTTTGGTTTCTGTTAAAAAAAAATAAACACAATAAAATATGTCCAATAGAAGAGTTTCCAGTCCATGGTCACTGCCCCAGAGGGGCACCGGGTGGATACTGGAATCCACCTCCCGATTCAGGTTGGTGTTGACCAAGCAGGTCTCTGCTTCCTTGACCTGGTTCGGCCACCCTTCCGGGACCGTCCCATCTCTGTCCCATCTCCTGGCCTCCTCCCAAGGTCCTCCCTTCAGACGGCCCAGGGGGTGGAGGGGCCTTGGCCTTGCCCCACGGGACGGATGGCTGCTGGTGCGGGTG